CGCGCGGCCACTTTTGAGTCGGCGTATGGAGAGCGGTAGATCTCCGCCGCCACTCACGCTGCTTCCGTGCTTCCGCCAATGTGGTAGCCCAAGCAGGCATGTCGACCTTGCCACACCCACTGGTGTATCACTTGGAGTTGAGCTGCGACTCCTGTGATTGCCGAAGTCGCTTCCCGGTGAGAACGCGCGACGCCGCCGCGAGAGGCGCGTGTATCGGCACTGAGTTAGATCTCCAGCGTACCCATAGGCCGGCGTACAGTCCTCAGATATTAATAGGCGAAACTGTTACGCGTTGGCACCACCAAGCAGCAACGCTCGCCACTAAGTACCCTTGGCCATGCAGGAACTCTTGACGTCACGAGCGCGATACGCATTGCGCTTCTGGCTGGCCTTCTTTGGAGTCAAAGCTAGGCTTCAGAGACGGCCACAAGGCAGAAGCTCACGGACACGTCATTTCGTTTCCGTACCGGTACAAAAACGTAATTCAAAATATACGAAATTCGTTCCGAAATGGGTGAAAGATGACTTATGATATCCGTAAATTACAAACGCACGTTCGTATTTTGAACGGACGGATATATTTTTCGTTTCAAGCATCCGATTCCAGAGAGCGCTTCGAAATCGGCCATCGAGGCGTGCGATGCGTCATGGGAACTCCGTCGCAATCGTGACGTCAGGCTCCTTAGTACAGCCAAAGGCTGGTATGATTTTGAGCGCCGCCACGCGGTGACTTTTGCGTGTAACAATCTCGCGTTTCAGAGTGGCGGAGAACTGCACCGCTGCACAGCTGCACGACAAGATCGTCGTTCTTTGTAGACGTTAGGAGGAGCTTGATCTGAGGATGCGGGGACCAATGCCAGGCCAACCAAATCCTTCCCCCCGGAGACGCTGTGAATAGCGTTATCAAATATGGTTCGCTACTTACAGTTATTTCTACATACTTCTTTCCTCCAGCTACTACTACTGCGGTGTGAAACTAACACGGTGAACCGAACGCTCGTGGCACATAAAATACCGGCATGGCCGAATGACCTTACGGGCATCTATGGGTATTCACTGGCCGCCATGGCCTCTGTTTGCTTCACCCTATCGTTCTTTTCTTTTTATCTCAACCTTCATCACCGTATGAGAGCAATCCCGCCCCGACCACGCGCACCGTGGGCTCAGGGCACGGTGGCTTAGGGCCGGCTTTCTAGAAGCAGCGTTTAGCTCAGCTAAGACAGGGTGAAAGAAAACACTGCCAAAGCTAGCGCATGCACGGAGTGGCGTCTCAAGTTCAGTCTCAATCGCTCGAGTACGAGGCTTGGCAGGCTTTCTTTCACCCAGTCTCAGCTAAGACGCTGTTTAAGCAAGATGGCCCCAGACTTTTGGCAAAGGCTGTAGATGCAAGGGGCGTACCAGATTGATCTACACTTTATTTTTTTGCTGCCGATACCGGCTACTTAGAAGTCGGCAGATGTAAATGCACTTGCACCACCTGTGGGGCGATCTTTCCATGCACTGCTAAAACCACTATTTGGAAGAGCATCGCACCTCCACCTGGACAGCAGCTTGCAGCTCATAAATGACCACGAGATGGCATCTTCGCAAGGATTGTTTCGTGGCTCCAAAAGGGTGATATAAAACTGGGGACCAGATCGGGCCGTACCCATGCATGACCGAGCGCCCGACGACGATGAGGAGGGCGCGTTCTTCATGGCTCTCAGGTCGGCGGGAATCGTGGGCCCCGTGCGCCCGCGGCCAGTCGACCTGCTGGATGTTCGGATAATTGTGTTTGGCATAGCGTTAACGAACCCAGTGCGGCAGGCGCTCTCGACGGTAACCGTTGGCCGCGGGATGGGACGCCGGGCGGACGGGTTTTCTCTGGGCATCAGGTTGCCTTTAACCACCGGTGCCGTACGCGAAGGCAGGTGAACCCTCTACGACCCCTTTTATGTATGTATATATCCCCAGAGTGTTTATTTTAGTGACCAGGAATGAAGCATTGGTTTTTGTGCTGGCATACTTCCGCGATAATGATAATGATGGTGCTAATAATACTAACAACAATAATAATAATAATAATAATAATGTGTATTGTATGTGCTTTAAGTATATCTATGTAAAGTAATGGGGCCATCAAAGCCGTAAAGGCTTGTAGGACTAGCCCCCAAGAATATTAAGGTCAATACAGACCTTAATACAGGATGAAAGCCCGAACGCGTGACGAAAGGAAATATGCACACGCAGGGGAATACGGCACAACGTGCAGAGCTCGCGGTAAGTGAAAAAATCAAAAGAAAATTGTATCGGCATGTTAAAGGGATACTTCAACGAAATTTGAAATATACCCGTCGTGTTCAGAAATAGGCTGAATATGGTCCACAATAGCCGTAAATGACAATCGCGCGTTCGCATTTTGCGCCTGATTGCTGCATTTTTCGTTTAAACGGCCCACTCTGGTAGCGTGACACCCAGCGCAATCGTAACGTAGATTGTCTCAGGACGAGCAAACCTGCGGCGAGGCTGACGTCGACGGGATGTCCTAACCGTTCCAGCCACCGAAGCAGCCGAAGGCAACACCACTTAGAATAATCAAAGCCTCCGCATCGCCTCCTCCCCCTTCATGAAATGTCATCACAGTCGGATCGCGCTAAAGGCTATTGGGCCCGAGTCCGACCTTCGACGCACTGATTGAACACGAGCCCCGGCCGAACACTGACGCAGCACTCGTGCCCAATCTCAGGCCCCGATCGATCCGACTGTGATGATGGCCGAAGCAAACCCGATGGGGCCATTGCAACTAACCCCAACGCTGCTTTTGTACGAATTTTCAGCGGCGGGTTAATCTTCTATAGACCTTTTTATCCTCCCTCGCATGGGCGCTGCCAAGTTGGAATCACGTGACGCGGCAGCCATTAGGTTGCTTCAACTTGCTGCTCCGCTCTCCCCTCCGCGCCTTGGCGGATGCGTTGTATTCGTGTTTTTCGTCACGTTTCACCGCGCTTTCTTGTCTTACTTCGGAAACTGTACTCCGACACGTCTACACAACGACTGAGACATCGCGAGGGTTTAAAGGTCCTAATGAAACCGAGGTTTGTTTACTAATAGTGACGGAACATTCTCAGTAAGAAGCGCGTATATTTTTATCGCGCATTTAGGATTGGAAGGCTTCAAAAATGCTCAGCGCAAGGAGTCAATCTGTGTTTTCTGAAAGTATAGTTCTTTGTAATCATAATATATCTAAAACAGTTTCTTTTGATTATGTGAGGAAACTCGCGGAGGGGATAGACAACGAACGTTTAACTTGTATTTTATCTGAGCGTAAAAGTAATTGTACGTCGACATCTGGCGATTGTTTTGTTCATAATATCACACATACTTGTGTTTGAGGTTCTCAATCTTTTTTGTAACGTAAACATTCGGCTGGTCGGTTTACCTATGAAGCTTAAAAAAATGTATGCCGTACTGGCTCCCATTTCGACAGTCATTTGAGTGATTTATTGATTATGTTTAGATAACCAGTGCCATTTACTTAATTAATCTTAGCACAAAGGTTGAGTCTTCCCGCGTAAGAGACTACCACAGACACTTAACAGTAGCGAGTTTCAGGATAGTGTGCACAAAGAAATAACATCGTTTCTATTTGCGAATCCAAAACGCGGTTTGGGTTCGGCGCATGCGCAATAACGACAATGCCTTTTTTCCTTTTTTTTTTTTTTTTTTTGCGTACGCTGTTTTATTTTTTGCCTGTATCTGGAGTCCGCAATAATTGACGCCGAAGGAAAAAGAAAAAAAAAAAGAGCCTTCTGCCTAACAATCACTTGTGTCTAGGATTGTCGATGGCGAATAGAGGTTTACTTTTTGTGGATGGCGACGCGGAAATTTACAAAGCGAATCTCTTCAAACAAATAAATATTTGTTCACACAAGCCCGTGAAGTGGTGCCTAGCGCTAGAATTCAGTCAAACTTTCCGAAATATTTCTCTTCCTGCGCCCTTTAATTATTTGGCCAATTTTACGGAAGGCAAATGCCAGATTTAATTTGACGGAACTGTCACTTATTCTTGAGTAAGCAAATGTTCATATAAAAATAATTTATTTCCCAGGGCCAATATCGTGAAATGCTGCTCATGAGTACTTAGGGGGGTTGATAATTAAGAAATTTCCTACTCGGCCTGTCAAAACATAGTCGAGTACTGACTTAAAAAAAAGGCCGAGACGATACTACTCGGCTATATCAATTATCTGCGTCACCACACGATATGCTTTTAGCCTGCGAAGTTCACTAAAGGTTGGGTGCCCACGAAAAGCGAACAGTGAGTAGTAAACTCGTGAGTTCATCTGTTCTGGCCGATTCAGCACATTGATAAGCAAACTGTCGATATGCTTCTTTATATTCCCGTGTTAGTCTCTTCATTAGTTTGTTTTTCTAGAAACTGGTATCATCGGGCGCGGCCGAAGACGATGGTAATCTTCCCTGTACATCAGTCAGGCGTTTCGCAACCGACCATAATCAGATACACCAAAGGAGTTGGTCAAAAAGCCCGCAGTTTAGGCTAAAATAAAATACACCTCGTAGCCCTCAAAGTGGTTCAATACCACGGTTTCATTGGTTGTGCGCTACAAAGAAAATATTCGTATCACAAAATTAGACAAAAACTACGTAAAACAGCATCATAGCCGAGTTCACGTTGAAACCGAAACCAACCAAATTGAAGCAACCTAATGGCGCCGAGTGCGTCAACGCCCTCTATCCGCCGGTGAGGCGAGGGACAATAGGCTTCTTGCATTGACGTCACATCGCACACTTTTGAACACCAAGTAAGAGGAGGAGAGGGAAGCTGCTTTTGTAAGAATTTTGAGTGACGGGTTAATCTTCTATAATCTTCTGGGGGGAGAATAGCGACTTCTGTCGCTATTCTCCCCCCAGCACTGCGCAAAGGTGACGTAAACTGTCGCTACTCTGAAGAATACTTACTCAGTGGCTCAAAGTCCTAACGATGGGAGTTGGGTAGGTAGTTGACTAGGCAGAAGGACAACAACTGTTGCAAATCTGGTTTCTTACTATGCACAGTGCTGGGGAACGAGATTTACTCCACAACCAAAAGTGAGCGCGTCAGCGCCTTTCTGACTGCCCAGGTTGTCAAGTTCAAGAAGTCCATGTTCCACTTCCTCGTGAGCTACGACAAGGGCATCTTTGGCTTCGGGCGCAGACGCTTCTGGAGGCTGACGCTCAACGAGGAATCGCTGCACCTTAGGGTGGCGGTCAACGCGAGCAATCGCATCCGTGGTTATGCGGGGCTCCAGGAGGACACCAAGGGCGTTCCGGTGTTACGCTGGCTCATTGCAAACGATGGTGAAACAGCGAAGCAACTGCTGTTCAACATTCTTGCAGACTCTCATGCATTCAGAGAACACGGAGTGTGGCTCGCACTCTATGTGCGCAGTCACATTGCAAGCGAACTGCTGAAGCATTTGGATACGAGCAGACTGCAGCCATGGATGCTGGTCTTCAATCGGAAAGAGCCTTTCCTGCATTACAGGAACATTGTCGTGTTCACCTACATTTGATAATGGAGCAGTTGTTCCAGTTTTGTTCTTTCCCGGATAACTTAGGTTTTTTGTCTTTAAATTTGCAAGTATACATGTTTTCAAGTACGGACTCAGGGCACCGGCCATCTTGCTCCCTTGGGGTGCGCTTGAGCTAGTCCATAATCTGATTGTGACGCCGCAATTGGATTATGACACGCCCAAGCGCACCCCAACTGAACAAGATGGCGACGACCTAAGCCTATACTCGCAAACGTGTGTACCACTGCAGTATACACGACATACAGCGCTCAAGGAAACTAAATGGACCAGAGGAGCAGATGGCCTAGCAAATACAATAATAATGTCTTTATAGAGACTCAAGCGGTGCATAGAGTAACCAAATGACAGAGCCATTGGCTACTCTAGGCTAACTGCACATGCTAGTTGTATACCCCAGTGTAACTGGATGTGCTCTGTAAGCAGAGCACACGGAGTTACCCTAGCAAGGCCCCGAGCACGGTCGGTGTATTTGGTACCACTGAGCATCATACATACACAGATAAAATATAATGTATGTAGTTGAGCAGGAAACATATCGATGATAATGAGCAGTACCATGAAGCTGGCAGGTTCGATCAAAGAACAAATTAAGCAAGTTTCAAAGATTAATTTATCGTCGTCTAAGAACATCCATGGCTGCAAGTTTGCTTACGCTGGAGAATAATGCAATTCTCCCGTGTGTGATCTCCTCACTGGTCGTCACATTGCGACAGATTTTATGAATGCAGCTGCCATTAGTGAGATGAATAATTTATTTACTCCTGCTAAAAAAGAAAACACACGCTGATGGCAATGAATGATTAGATAATAACAAAAGTTGTCAACATTTTTCCACTTCCTGTGGCGAGATGCTTCCAGTGTTTCTGGTGGCCTTCTTGGAAAAGTCTAGATGACGATGGTCTTGGATTTCTTGGTACCACTGCAGGAAATTGTGGAAGTTGTCGATGTAATGCATGATTGGAGATGCACCATTACTAAAGATTTTTTCTTAGCAAAACCTACCTCTGTGTCTGGGGTGTTCCCAAACCTCTGCTTCCTTTTCAGGAGACGCTCCTTTTCCTCCAACTGTAAAAGATGTATTTATTGAGCATGTTGATACCAACTTTAGACATATTTAAACATATATAGACAGTGTAAAACGAGGCCAAAATCGGCAGTGGGGGCAAAAATGAAATCTTTAAGAAAGACACATAACACTGTGTACTAGACTATGCGTCAGCACCCCCCCCCCCCCCCCCCGCCCTTTACCCCCAATATTCACCATAAATGTATACATAAATAATGTTCAAGGGCAACTGTAAACAAACTTACTACAATTGCTTGCTGAAAAATGCATGTTGCATCTGGTTTTGTAATCTTTTATACACATAGTGTTTTGCAGGGCAATAAAATAATGTTTGATGAAGAACCCGAACCTAAAGTCATTCTCACAATGTCGTTTAGAGACCAAATACTGGTCAAGTCATCTTAGCAGGTGGAGTGACTATTGTAAGTAGCAAGTCAAGAATTCAGGAGAAGATTCGTCCAGAAGGGTTGTGCATCCATGTCAAGTCCTCCTGCCGTCGCTGCCCAGGAAATACATCTGCCAATGTGAGTCGTCCGCTTCATGACACCGCAGCAAAACTCACCACTAATCAAGGGAGACGACAATAGGTAATTTTAGCCAACTGTTATCGTGTTCTGCATATAGCACTGCTGGAGCCTTTGAAGAATGCTTCAAAGGCTCCAGCAGTGTGGTATGCAGAATGCGGTAACGGACTGCTAAAAGTCCTTATTGTCATGTGGCAGCACAGGAAACTGCACGACATGCACAACAAAAAAAATGATCAGACGATTTTCTATAGGTGGTCCAAGTCACCAGGTTCGATCTAAAATGGAGCGTAAAAATCGACGCCTGCACGTAGCAATCTAAACTTTTCGACAAAGGTGTATTTTACAGGTCGGTTTTTTCTTGTAAAATTACAAAGCGTAGTTCTCTTTTTGTAAAAAATAAGGCCAAGAAACTTGTCAGGGTCTACGGCGGGCAGCGACGCAGATGACAGGGGCCCAGTAGCGGGGTGTGTTTGGCGTTCGTATTGCTTGATGGCGTCGGGAGCAGCGTCGAAAGGTGCAGCCGACCAGCGAAAGAAAGCAGACGACACGCATAACGAAATTCATTGGCAGCAAAAGCGCCGTCGTTATGCAGATGCATTTTTTTACTATAAGTCTTGATTTTATTGTCCGCATTTATTTTTTTTAATCAAAGGTACATTTCAAAAACATTATGTTCATTTTAATAAACCACGGTGGTCGCGAGCCGTAGCGATAAGGAGGTAGCGCCATCTATCAATATGAATGCAAAACACACCCCGCTACTGGACCCCTGTCGTCTGCGTCGCTGCCCGCCACATACCCTGGCAAGTTTCATGGCCTTATTTTTTACAGAGCTACGTTTTGTAATTTTACAAGAAACAACCGACCTGTGAAATACATCTTCGACGAAAAGTTTAGATTGCTACATGTAGGCGTCGATCTTTATGGTCCATTTTAGATCGAGCCTGGTGACTTGGACCACCCTATATGTCAATGACATATGCGAATGGCAGGACACAATGTCCCAAAGCAGCAGGTGGCCACGACTGTGACTTCATTTATCGACACATTCGCATGGAGTGGAACAAGCTCGCTTGACCATAGTCTCCCCTTCTATCACTGCTTACCAAGTGGGTGACTGCAAACGAGAAGATTGGGCTAGGATGCTACGTTTTACACATAAATAAACACTGCTTCAAAGACGTCATCTCAGTAGGCAGCCCTCATTTATTAACTCAAAAGTCAGAGACAGTAAGCGCACATATCTTATGAATGCTTCAATGGCAAGGACTGCAGCAATTTTGCATAACAGAAACCATTGTGGACAAATGCTGATACTATCCTGTTCCACCATACATGCGATCAAAGCCGATGCAACAAGCACGAGCATGTTGTTTCGAACTATGCTTTCACTTCCAAGCGATCCCACTCAAAGCATTGCACTTGCTTTTGTAGCGTCTCCTTCACTCACACTGATGGGGAAATGCAGCACACCGTCACACTGTTACGACATAACTCGAGGCAAGAGCTAACGGAAAACAAACGAAGAGAACTAAAGTGTTTGGCGAAGCGTCTCGGCAGCTGCCAAACCCAGTCACTCAAGCGGACACGCACATTGAGTACTGCTATGGCGATACGACTTTTGGACACACCGTAACGCAAACAAAAGCGAGTTACAGCACAATTTTGCGACGTAACGGGTATGTAAAAAGCCGAAAATTGCGGCAAGAGGTCTACGTCCGCCTGTGTCGACAACGGCCATGATGCTAGGCAGACTGCCATGTTAAAAAAGTACAGTATAGACCACTTACAATGTAACCGCTTAAGGTGCAGGACCGGGTATAATGCAACTTTTTTAAACCACCGGTTCGCCTCCCATAGAACTCCATGTAATTGCATACCGCTTAAAATGCAGGCGCGCGAAGGGAAATACCGGTTATAGTGCAGTTTCTGGAACAGCCCGCCGACCGCGCCGACCAATCGGCGCAGCAAGCACGCCTTTTCTTGTGAACGCCTGAAGCTTGAGTGGGAATTTTTTTTAATCCTCGCCACAGATTACCACTTGGAAAGACACAAAAGACTTTTTTTTCTCTCTCAGTTCCAGCTTATCATAAATGATACAATATACCCTTTCCGAAATTCAGTCTGGCCACTTCAATAGCTATCATCACCGTCATCTTGACGGTGCTCAAAAGTGCGGCTGGACACACTGTACGAGGGAGACGCCGCCAACGCTGCCATGAACATGTACGGCATCGCAAGCATGAGCTCTACTGCTGCTGGCAGTCTAACAGTCTCGTGGACCAGACGTTTGTCGCCCATTTCAGACTTTCAGCCCGGTCGAGGACTGCGCCTGTGGCAGCATTAACGCAGTCGTCGATGTTACAATCGTTCACTACGCTGTCTTCAGTTGCGACTGCGTGGCACATGAAGTTAGCGGTGAAGTCTTCCATAGCGTTGACAGTGACGATTCTTCGCCGCTTGCATTCTTCTGGCTCGACGTCCCAGGTGCCGCATGTCCACCGGTCAGATCGGCGAATGCGTAGCTTGCCTCTTCACTAGCGGGTTCGCTCATCGCGTCTTGACTGCTCGGATCGGTGATTGCGTCATTCGTCACTCCGGCATCAGCGGCGGAAAACTTCGGTGCTGACGGCGGCGCCTGTCGTACTTGTGGTTTCTTTCTGGGAGGCTTTTTCGCGACATTGAAAGCAAAGATGCTCGGCACTGCTTCCTGTCTGAGGTAACGACGTTTACTAGCGATGTTCGGAATGTAGTCACCCTCTCGAAAGTGTCCTGAGCAAATCTTAGTGTACTTCGTAATGGAGAAGTGCTTGCCTTCGTCACGTTTTATCGCAACAACCCATTTTTTTCGGAGAGCGGGGTCGGATGGGATGGCGAACAAAGATACTTGTAAAGAAAAAAGTATACAAAATTGGCGAGAGGTTACATAAAATGCCCGAATGTTAACATTCTCTCGATACCCCAAGCCCAGCAACATCGCTTCTGTTTACAAAAAGAAAAGGGTGCAGGTGCATGCTCCCTTCCGTCACGCTAGCTCTTGAGAAGCAGCACGAGACGGCTTATATCATTCCATGCTACTAATCTGGCGAAATCTCTTCCGTTTCGATTGTCGCAGCGGTCGCGTGCGTGCACCGCCCAACCGCGAGCCAGAGGCATCCTTGAGTCCTTTTTGCTTACACAGCGGCACACAGCAATGAAAAGCCATCGCAGAAGCAGCGTGTGGCGAAGTATCAGCCGCGCAGCGCCTTCTGTGGCCGCAGTGGTGTCGGTGGTGTAGCGCACGTTGAGCAAGCGCCGATGCGACCATACATGCTATAGTCGGTTACAAGTCAAGAAGGTAGGAGAAGCTCCTCCCACAAGTGTGATGCGCCCGTTACAAATCTCTCCGCAGTCGAAAGAAGAGTTCGCTGGAGACGCTC